AATATTTTGGATTATTCTATGGTACACTATGGCCTAACTTCCTATGGGGTCAGATTTGAAATCTGTTAATCACCATGTTTTTCGATATCCGAAAATCTTCGATTTTTTCATGGACCGTCTGTTAATTGATTCTTGTAATCAATTAAGAGGTCTTAAGCCACTTGAGAAGTCCCTTGAACATGAACGAAACCGGTCGTAGTATGCTCATCTAAATTGTACTTAAGAAATTCTCTGCGCTGCTTTTCTAAAAAATTGAACATTGAAAGATGCAAATCTTTTTAATTCAATTCTAGAAATTATGCAGTGCTAAAACTATCTGAGGATCGATCCTTGAGAAGGGTCGAAACTATAGTCGTAGTATTTTCTTAAAACATAATACGCACCCACACTCACACTCTAAATGTATAAGAAGGCATAGCAGCTTTATAAAATCTAACCTTAATACAGGATGAAAGGAACAATTACAACAAATCAATGAACTCGAACAATGCAACGAAGAAAAACTAAACCAAATGAACAAAATTAAAAACTGGAAGCAACAACAATTGAATGATTTCGAAAAGCTTCCAACAACTGAGCAAGATCAACTACTACAAGATGAAATCGAACAATTGCTACAAATCGACACAGTCGGAAAAATACAACAAGAAATGTTACAGCAAATAGACTTAAACGATCAATGGGATCAAGAAAGAGTGTACCAATTCCAAAGGATTTCTACACCACCGCCACATATTACAAAATGGCTGACAAGGTTTCAAACAAAACAGACTAAAACATATAAAATGAAGGTCCATAAAGAAATCTTGGAGATACGATAGAGCTATTTGCAACCTTTGTTTGGTGAATATCTCTGTCAAACATCATGATATGGGGCTGAAAATTTTACCATAGTCATCTTTCACCAGCTCCAACATATTCTGAAAGTTTCATGCAATTTAGATGTTCCTGGACTAAGACCGATTTTTGAGGGAAGGCCTTAACTGAATAAATATCTAAATGTTATAATGCATCTTTCAAAATGATCTCTATGTTTTAATAAATTCTCTTCAATAAATTATAAATCACTTTCAAAATTTTGCACCAAAGTCATTTAGCAAAACACGAAAATAAGAAAAAACAATTGAGTAGGTTCTAATCTGATTAGAATAGTAATTATTTTCAAAGTATTATTTGAAAATTTTTCCTTAAACTTGAAGTTAAATATTACATAGATTATTTCTAGGTCATCAGATGATAAAAAAGAATAGCTCTCATACTTGATCCTGGTGAGCTTTCAATCGGTTTCGGGATATAAGCCATAGGTTTTTCGATAGAAAACTAAGAAAATGATCGAGCCTCCCAAGTAGAACTCTATATCTGTACAGGGTATAACAAAATCATTGTGTCCCCTCTAGAACTTAAAGTATAAATGATATCACCAAGTATTTTATACCAAATTAATACTCATCAAAAACTGGATTTAGGATTGTAATTAGAGCAATTATTACCTAGGAAATTGTTGAAATATCTTGAATTAAATGCTAAAATGCACTCGTACGTTACGATTTTCGTTCTTCATATACATAGTTTCACAAAAAATACTTAGAGGTATCCAAAAGTAGTGGCAGTGACACTTTTATATCATATAGTATCCTTTAAGAAACTTTTTCTCTATGTAGTCTGATAGAGAAAAAAATGCTCTATTTTTCTATGCTGTTTGATCACAGTTCAACCAATATCATAACGATAAAATTTCGATAAGATCTATTTTGTTCCCATGTGTCACGGTTACATGAAATGCTAGTGAGTATTTTTTGACTAACCTTTGATAGAAATAAGATAGAGAACTGCGATTTTCACTGTTGGAAAGAGGAGATGAAGATGCATCGAAACATGTATTATTAGTTTTTCTAATATCGATTTGTGAAGTATTTTTATTCAATTTCTTAACTCTCAGAAAAATATTCTCTTTTTATCAGAAAAGAGAAAGGGATAAAAGTGAGATTTTTTCACAAAAATTATAGGAAAACAGAATTAGAAGTTCCACTAAAATACATATTATTCATGTAAGATTTCTGCAGTTTGTAGATCTTCGATTGCTGATTTGAATCTATACTTGATAATTGAAAATTCACAGTAACAATTTCCCAGACAGGTATGCTCTTAAAAAGGTCATTTGAAAAAATTATAAAAAGACCAGATCAGGAAATCTTGTAATATATGATTCGATGCGTCTTCATCTCCTCTTTCCAACAGTGAAAACCACAATTCTCTATCTTGCTTCTAACAAAAGTTATTCGAAAAATACTCATCTGCCTATTTTTAAAAATGAGCCTTATATAACCGTGACACATGGGAACAAAATAGATCTTATCGAAATTTTATCGTTATGATATTGGTTGAACTGTGATCAAACAGCATAGAAAAATAGAGCATTTTTTTCTCTATCAGACTACATAGAGAAAAAGTTTCTTAAAGGATACTACATGATATAAAAGTGTCACTGCCACTCTTTTTAGATACCCCTAAGTATATGTTATTATTCTTAACATTCTACACAGTACAAATTTGCGGATACATTAGATATATGTTTGTTAATTATCGGTACAATTGGTTCTTTTGCTAGTGGTACATGTTTTCCTCTGTTACTATTTATCTATCAACAAGTTACTGATGCTCTTGTCAATTATGGTAAATTAAAATATATTGAACAAATGGATCTTCAAAATTTATCTCAATTATCATGTGAAAATGGAGGACAGGATTCAAAAGAAAATCTTACTTTTTTATGATCTTATGCTTTTTGAAATATAAAGATTTGATATTCCTGATAATACAACAAGTCCTATTTAGGCTATTCAAAATGTAGTAAAATGGTATGTTCTACTTGGATTTTTAAATATTTTTTTTTACACTATTGGCTTTTCTGCCTACATAGTATCAGCTGAAAGACCAATTCGTCGAATAACGTTAGTATATTGAACTGTTTTCTCATAATCGAATACATATTCATACACATATACGTATATATATACTAGTTCAAAAACTGATTTCACATGATGATGACTTTTATTAAGCAAAGTAAAATTTTAGAATTAAGAAAAACTCCTACATTAAGTTTATTTATACCGTTCGATAGTTCGAAGTCTCTAGGTTTATAATTCATTTCGGAAAAACCCTAGTTTTTAAATCCAAAAAGCATTATTGCTTGTATCTTTGTAACAAAGGTCGCTTTTTCCGAACTCAACCATTATTTTACTTAGGGCTATCCAAAAGTAGTGGCGGAAGTACTTTAATTGCTTATAAAAAGCTTAAAGAAACTTTTTCTCTATATGGATTGATAGTAAAAGCGATGCTCTATTTTTTTGTGTTATTACATCATTTCTCAAGTAATATCATTATAATAAAACTTCCATAAGATCTATTTTTCTCTCATATGTGACGGTTATACTGATGCCTATTTCTTTTTAAAAGACGAAATAGATATTTTTTTGAATAAGTTCTGATTAAAACAAGATATTGAAGCTTGTTTAATCTATCTTCTATGTGTAAAAAATGGTTTTTTTTTATCAAAAAGGAAATAGCAAAAAGTTTTTTCACAGCAGTGGCTAGAAAAATCACTTTGAGCTTCGACTAGAATGCCTGTAACTCCTGAATGATTAATTCTAGCAAAAGCAGATCAATCAAAAACAGCTAAATCATTTGCTGAACTAGAAGGAAAAGTATGTTATTCAAGTTTTTTCTTTTTTCTTTTTCAATTATTATTTTGAATAATTTCATATTTATACAGTATGCAATCGAAGCTATTCAAAATATTCGTACCGTAGCAACTTTTAATCAAGAAGAATTTTTTATTAATAAATATGAAGATGCATTTAATAATGATTTCAAGTAAGTAAAATAAAGAAAAAAAATTTTTTTTAAGTATGTGTAATGTATTTTTTGTTAAATTAAGTAATTAGATCACGAATGTTTAAAATACAAACACAAGCATTAGGAAAAGCGATTGCAAATTCATTTTTATATTTTATTCATGTTACTGCATTCAGTTATAGAGCAAGTCTTGTTGAAAATGGTGAAATGATTTTCGATCAAGTTTTTCGTGTATTTATTGTTATTAATTTTGCTTCAATGTCTGTTGGTAGAAGTACATCAGCAATGCCTGATTATAATCTTGCAAAAGCAGCTGCACGACGTATTTTAGCGTTACGTGATCAAAAATCAACTATTGATCCTTATGATGATAACGGTTCGAAACTAGTAAATATTGATATAAAAATCTGATAAAATTTATCATTAATGTTTGTTTGATTTAGAATAATGCTCGAGGAAATATTAAATTTCATGATATTAATTTTGCCTATCCAACAAGAGCAAAACGACTTGTACTCAACAAATTTAATTTGACTTGCTTAGAAGGACAAACAACAGCATTAGTTGGCTCATCTGGTTGTGGGTAAACAATATTATCAATAGCATTGGTTATTATATATATATATATACTGATACTATTTTGTTTTTAGTAAGAGTACAACTATTTCATTATTACTTCATTTCTATGATCCAAAAAATGGACGAATATTATTGGATGGTCAAGATATACAAACATTAAATGTAAACTGGCTTCGTTCACTTATTGGTTATATTCAACAAGAACCAATATTATTTGATCGCACTATTGCTGAAAATATAGTATATGGTATTAATGACCGACAAGTATCATTCGAAGAAGTTCAAAAAGCTGCAAAACAAGCTAATGTTCATGACGAAATAATATTATTTCCAAAAGTAATTATCTTTTCATCTTCATTTAAAACTAAATCATCCATTAAGGAATTCTAGGGTTACAATACTCATTGTGGAGGTGTTGGAGATACACAACTTAGTGGAGGTCAAAAACAAAGAATAACAATAGCTCGAGCGCTTCTACGAAAGCCAAAAATACTTTTACTTGATGAAACAACTTCTGCACTTGATAATAAATCTGAAGGAGTAAGATATTTTTGAACAATATATATTTATATATTTGGTTATTTTTTTATCATTTATGTTTAATTAAGATTGTACAAAATGCTATCGATAAAGTTCGAGCAGGTCGTACATGTTTAACCATTGCTCATCGATTAACAACGATCCAAAATAGTGAAAATATTGGAGTAGTTGAACATGGTAGTGTGCGAGAACAAGATCGACATGAAGAAGTTTTGAGAAAAAAAGGTTTCTACTATAAACTTGATCAAGCAACTGTTGAAGTCTCTTGAAGTCCACTGTTTCTCCCTCGGTTTTACTGTGTAAAACAAATTCTGCAGAAATAATACATTCAACCTACAAACATAATGACGGCTATATAATAACTTCACAAGCAGCGAATGTATACAGAATTTTCTTTTAAAGATTCTTTTGCAAGCTTGATATAAAAAAACACGGTCTTATCCAAGAATCTTGAGATTATTTTAGAGTGATGAAAAAGACTAGATTATCTAATGGTGGCAAAAGTCATCAAAAAACAAAGTAACAATCGTCTCACAACTAGAATTTAAGAAACATATACAAAATAACTGAAACGATACATTTACTCCATTAATATCAGTACGATTATTCATTGATATCAAAAGAGTTAAGTGTATAATCGAAAAGTAGCGCTCAAAGAACATCTTCTTGATAGATGTACTCACTAGATTTTGAGCGACATATTTCATCAATCGATAGAGAATGTAACCAATTAGGTGTCTTGTAAAAAGAAGTTTCTGAAAAAATGAAAAATAAAAAGCTAATGCCATTATTCTGCAACTCACTAATTTTTTTCACACATTTATACCAACCTTATTAGTAGCCATCATAGTGTTCAGTCACAATGAAAAACAAATCATTTTGACCTACAAGCATGGAAGATATTTCGCTGTATCTGCTTATAGACATATTTTCTGACCAGCAAATGAAGTTTTTTTTTGAAAATCTTAAAAAACATAACAAACATCCTCAATGACTTCTTTGAAACCCTAGTATAAGTCTCTATTATATACTTATGTTAAATGAGAAATTATCATTAAAATTATTTTTAAAAAAGTAAAAAGAGTATTTCACTTAGTATAACTCATCTTCATTTGTGTGAACAGATCTTTGCACAATATTTCATTCTTTTTTTAAGTATATTCAACTAGAAAAGTAAAACCATAAAAAGAGTGCAACGCAAACAAAAATAAATAAAGAACATATACTGAAAATTGTCATGTAAATGGTTTACAACTTAATCTAATCAGAAAAACGTCAAATGATTTTGAGTTATGAGGGATATCTAATTATAATACAACAGAAAGTGATATCGATCTTTTCGAAACGATTCCATTACTAGCAGCTAATGAAATGCACTCTTAATCAAGAATCCGACAATCAAATTTAACCAGATCCTATCGAAAAGTTGCCCAAAATGAACGAATATAAAAGAATTCAACAATTTCTTTTTAACTGGCGTTTGGTTACCTGTAAGCGTCGGGATATACCAAACAAGATGTCGTTAGAATATTAACATCCTATTCTGATCAGTATGATCTGAGTACATATTTTATTACTCCTTTCTCTTTTTATAGACTTCGCTAATGAACTCTTATTAAATAGTAAAAAACTTTTTTTTTCAATGCCCAATAGTGGAAGAAGACCGATCAAAACCGAACATAGTTAGACGGGATGAGAAAGTAAAAAAAAAACGATTTTTATCGAGATCTCATTTATAATGGTCTCCTTACAATGAAAACATGACCAAAAAAAATCTGACACCAATACAAGACAGCACAGATGACTTCAGAGCGGCAACATCAAATAAAACATTCATTCTTTGACTGGAGTAAGATTCTACGAATCAATATTAAATTGATATATATACTACTGGTTGACGTCCCTATCTTTAACAAAGAACTAAAACAAAATTTGATAAAAATTTTGAAAAAACAATTTTGAATATTCGGATAATGATCCGATGTCTCTTAAAAAATAAATAAAAACAAAATTGCATCTGAATTCTTTATATTTGACAATATAGTCTACTGCAAACAAGAAATTCGATAATAATCGTTTTTCTTTATAAATCCACACGAATACACACATTTGTTTGAATTGCACAAAAAAAAACTAAAAGAAAACACGACAATTATTGACGTGTAAGTGAGAAAACGCACGCACACATAAAATGCCGTACAAAACAAAAAAAAAGGCAAAACAAATTGACTAGTTCTGTAGAATCTAATATAAAAACCAAAATTATTTTTTTTAAACATCCATTTTTTCTTCTTCGGCAAGACGAACAACACTTGATATGGGTACATTATATTTATATGATAAATAAGGCGGTCGAAATGTATTCATTAATGGTGGAAGTGGTGATGATGATGAATCTGTACCACTACTTGTATATGTTGTTGCTGTTGAAATCGATAATGATAATGGTCGGCCAGATATTACTTGTTGCTGTTTCAATAAACAAATAGATTCATAACCACTATCTCGAGGAGGTTTTGCTAAAAGAAAAATAAATTGAGTAAAAACAAAAAAAAACAAATCAATAAGGAATTTACGCGGTGGAATGACAACAGAAGGCATTGATGAAATATAAGGCGATGGTGGATAACTATTACGAACTATTCGTGAAAAATTTTGATGATCTGATAATGGACGCATAATTGAATTCTATGAAACACAAAAAAAAACAATCAACATAAAAAAAGAAAAGATAAATTTTATGAATATTAAAATAACATTTAACCTTATGTATTATTCGTATTTGTTTATTCATTGAATCTGATGATTCAGATGATGTTTGATCATTACTATTTAAATTAACAAGCCTTTCACGTTCTTCTGATGTTATATCATCATTATCATCTAATTTACTGCTACAACCACTTTCATCATGTATAAATGGAGATTTACTATGTACTGTATCATATAAATTATAGTGTTTTGAACAATGATAAGTTTTTTTCTGTTTTCCATTTTTTCTATAACCAAATATAACTGTATATAAACATAATGTTATACAAATTGTTATAATTATAATAAAAATAAATAGAAAAAGTGTAAATAAACCAACAACTAAATATGAATAATGATGAAATATTGATAATGACCATTGAAAATTTTTATTATTATTATTATTAAATGATATATTTAATAAAGATATATTTTCATATTCAATTAAATTATCTAAAATATTCATTGTTATTGTTGATATATAACAATGATGAGTTGAATTTAATCGATTTGGTTTTCCATGATCCATAGCCATAATACGTAAATGATAATATGATGATTGATTTAAAATTTCTAAATTAAATATTTGACCTTGATCATTAATTACAAATGAATTATTATATGGTGGAAGAATTGAATAAGATAAACGACCATTATCACCTATATCTAAATCTGTTGCATGAACTTGAAATAATGGTTGATTATTATCTAAATATAAAGTTACATTTAAAAATGAAGAATTAATTTCATATTGAAACATTTTATAAGCAAGATCTTAGTTAAGATATAGACACAGAAAAATTATTAACTAACCTAAAGATTGATTTTCTGAAGGATTTATTTGTATATTACAATTTATTGATTGATTAAATACTGGTGGAGAATCATTTTCATCAATAATTATTATTTTATATTCTAATCGAAGAATTTTTGATGGTTGTCCATGATCTTGTATAATTAAAATAAATTTATCTAATTCTATATTAATATTTTCTCGATCAATTAAACGTTCAATAATAAGTAAAAATGATCTTTGATCAATTGTTCGTATTCCAATAAGATCATATCCATATTCAATTCGATATGACATTTCACCATTTAAACCTGAATCTTGATCAGATATAGAAACATGTGCTAAAATTTGTCCTATTGGAGTATTTTCACGTATAGATATTATTAAATCATTTATAAGAGGTTCAACAAATGTTATAAATGCTTGTGGACTATTATCATTTTCATCAATAATAAAAATATCAATAGTAACAAAATGTGCAATAGAATTTTCACCTAAATCACGAACTTGAATTATTAAACGATATGATTGTTCAGATTCATAATCAAATGGATTGACTAATGTTAAACTAAATGAAAAAATAATAATGGTCAATATAAAAAAACGAAATTCTTTCTTTCTTACATTCCAGTTGAATCACTAATACGAAAATAATCCATCCAACTAGATGATGGAAGACCATTAGTAATCGAATAATGAATCTATTGAAAAACAAAATAAATCTTTTGACAAAAAAAAAAAAACATCTCACATTACTTTTCCATTTAATCCAATATCTTTATCTGTTGCATTAATACGTGTTAATACAGTTCCAATGGGTGTATTTTCACTTATATTAAGACGAATATGTGTCTCGGCTAGAACAACAGAATTATCATTCATATCCTAATCAATGAAAAAATCAATTTTAAAATTCAATTTTTGATTAATATTAAAATGTTTACATCGATTTTAATATATAATTTTGTTGAACTTTGTCTTTTCGGTTGACCATTATCAAAAGCAATCAATTCATATTCATAATGATCTCGTTCTTCTCGATCAATTTCTTTGATCACTTTTAATGTCAAACCACCATTAATCTTTGTCACTATTTCAAATGGTCCATCATTATTTTTCTCATATAAATATTTAAGCTCATAATTGATACGACTATTTTCATTTAAATCAGCATCATTTGCTTGTTCTAAATTTATTTCATATCCTATTGGAACATTTTCCATTAAATTATATTGAAAATTTTTTGATGAAAATGTTGGTATATGATCATTAATATCATCTATATTTAATATAAGTTGTAAAAGACGATATGGTATTTGCCATTCAATTAATTCAATTGTTAATTGACATTGTGTACATGAACATATACGTTGAGAACATAAATATTCTCGATCAAGTGAACGTGCAAGTAATAGATGGCCATTAAATAAATTATAACGTACAAAAGAATTATGATTTCTACCTGTATCAAATAAACGATACGTTATTGTATTATTTGTTGTAAATAATATTGTTGATAATGGTAATTCTTCATCAACACGTATATATATTATTGATTGTTCTTGATTTTTACAAAATACATTTGAAAAGATAAATAAAAAGACTATATAAAACATTATCTAAAATTTAAATAGATATATACTACGAGATATAATTTTACTCATTAATCAACCACAGTCACGTATACTTTCCACTACACAAATAGTTTTCTCTTACAAATTATCA